AGCTCTTTTAGAAGGATTCATAGAAAAAGTGATATTATAAACACCATGCTTGCTTAATTAGTTAATCAAATACATATCTATGTAATATTTTGTAACATAGATATCCAGTTGATATGCATTAAAAGCAACAGCTTATGGTGCATATGTAAACTTGCTAAAATGTGAAGGCTGCGGGGGGGGGGGGGGGTTCTGTATAATTTTGAGTGATTCTCAGAAATTATCACAATAGTGCCCCAAAATAATCTTTGAGTGCTTCACAGCAGATAAGGTTTGTTTTAGAAGCCATTTTAACATTTTTAACCTTTCTATTAATCTCAACTCTTCTATAATCAACCCTCACTACTCATTCAGTCAGGAGTATACATATACTTTACCTATGCCAAGAAGTTAACTAGTAAGATAAAATTAGAACTGTAAAAAGTCTGTGGTGCATATGCATATGTACATACATGTCTCTGTGTGAGTGTGTATGTATAAAATTAATTAAAGGCAATGCAGGTACAGGAGTCAATGCAGCTTTTCACACAGTGAGAGTTTAGAACAACTGATTTCATAACAAAAGTTGAAGTTTTTCAGTGTATGTATATACTGTATGTTTGTGTAGACCATCCTTATTTTCTAAATAATCAGTTTTTAAATTGTGAGGTTTTCAAGCTGATTTGAAAGCTTAAAATCTGTAAAGCCTGGAGGCCCTCAGGGAATGAAGACTCCTCTCCACAGTACTCCTCAATTAAACTCTTACAAGTTAGAGTGAACTTTGTGTCTATCTTCTGTTTTAGCATGTTTATATCATCCAAGATAATCATCTTGAGGCCCATCACTTGTTCTATCTGACCCAGAAGTTTAAGACAAGATGTACCCTGACATATCTTGACACATCTCTTCCTAATATATGTTCAGCAAAAATGAGGAGGCAGTTTCAGGATGTTTAACCATGATGTTACTTTGTAGATCTAATGCAGTACATATGTACATGAATCTTTACCTACACAAATAATAAACATATATGTATGGGAAGGGGAAGGGTCAAGTGTGTGTTTAGAATTAAAAAACATGCAAGGTTATGTTCTTTATTCTTGGGGGTTAAATTTTGTATAATTTAGAGATTAAAAGTATTTCTCCATCTAAAACTGAAATGGAGCTACCCACACATATCGAATACAACAAATAAAAATTATTAATAATAAACATAAACATAACAATAATAATAATAACAAAAGGCTGTATGAATGAAAAACGAAGAGCATGCTGAACAGAGTAGGTTTATGTGTCTACTGCCTGTAAGACAGAGCTGTAAGCGTGCAGTAGTACCTCTACACTCACTGGCTTCCTTGTACACATTGTCACAGGAGGCTTGGCTTAATCATCTGTGAGCTGAAAAAAGTAATATAAATCGGAACCTTTTGTCATGGAATATTTAAATGTGGATAGGATTTAATGGCTTTGGGGAGAAAATTTAGCATGAGAGATTGTAAGAAACAAGAAATCGATTACATATAAGAAAGGACTTGAACCTCTAATCAAGTATTACCATACACAGAGAGATCCCTTGCTAGTTATAACTTAATTCAAAGGGGATAATGGTTAGAATTTTTGTTAATTTTAAGTTTTATCAAAAAATGACATTCCTATTTGCTCTTTATCTAGGTTTGCATAATACATACTTACAGTGATATATGGAAAGCCATCTGTAAATCTTGACGCATATGCTACATGGTATCCATAGGTAGTATGTCTTCTATGAAATACAGATATCTGTACAATTTCTGCTTTTACTGGGGAAATAAAAATCCTTGTTGCAAAATAACCAAATATAGCTTGATGCAACTAGTAGAAGAAGGCAAAGATCATTTAAGACTGACTTTCTTATTCCTTGCAATTTCTGTGACAGTGAGAGTAACCCTGCAGCAGCCACACCTAGCTTTTGTGCTGTGTGACTGCTAGTTTTTGTGATCAGTGGCACATAGCAGCAGCTGTAAGTCTGTCCCTCTTTACTGGAAATCTAGAAAGTTTTGTCCTTAGCTAAACGAGACAAAAGGGGGTGGCATCTCATTGAGAGATAGGTTGTGTAGCCAACTGCCAGTGCCTCTGACTTGAGCTGTGAAATAACTCCACAAAAGCACACTGATGTCTGCCTGTTTGGTGCGTGCAAACAGCTAGCTGCACAGTGGTTGGGTGACTGACTGCGTGCGGTAACCTTCCGCTTACGTGTGGCAGTCTGTTACAGGATCTGTACCTACTATTCTCATGAGTTATTCTCATGCTGGCTGTATTTAATTTTTATTTACTTAAATATCCGTTTTTATAAAACATCCATCTGTTACATAAGCCTGTGAGTGATTTACAAATTACAGCAAAAACAAAACAAATTACTACCAGTAGTACATTACAAAGCAGCCTGCAGCTGGCTGCAGACAGGAGTCCTAATTCAATACATGTAAGCAGCGTAAATTAGACAATATTATTTCCATCTTCAAACAATGCAAGTTAGAAAGAATGAATACTTGTGGCTTCAGATTGGAAATGTGTATATATAAATTGGGTCACAGATGACAGCAAAGGCCTGGACACCAAAACCTGAACTGTTCTTGGAGTACCACATCAGAATTGCTCAAAAGTAGAACCACTATGGCTGGCTGGAAGTTGTGGGAGAAGTAAAGGCAAGAAACATAGGTCACATTCATGGGCAGAGCAGCCAAAATTAGTTGGATGAGAAAAGACATAATCTTAGAGCTTTCAAATGTGAACCTGTCCTTTTGTTTTGTTTCACTTTCTTTTGCTGTTGGGTGTTGTTGTTCTTGTTGTGCTGTTGTTTTATGTTCTGGATGATTTTTATTAATATAGAGTACCTCTAAAATACTATTCCATCAGACAGGTAGAAATGAGGGAATAGCAAAGTTAGTGATGTCCACAGTGCTCAAAGGTATTCAAAGCTGCAAACACTTCCTGACTAATGCAAACCAGGACCACGCTGTGAAACAGCATCTGCATGATGGGTTTCCTAAATCTCTGTGTAGAACATGCTGAGCAGCTTCTGCATAGAGATTGGTTCTGGTGCTCTGAAGCTGGGTCAACAGTGTGAGAGTCCTTCTAAAAGTATTCTGCAATTAATTACTTTTGAGGGTTTCACAATCTTGTAAGGTTTCATTGTCAATGGCCATATGTGGAGCCTTTCTAAACACTCCACAGTAGCATGCACGGTTCTGAAGAATACATGACATTGACATCATTAACTTTGAATTCATAAAGGTGACACACATCAGAGCTGAAATAACGAAAATCAGCTTTAATCAAATAAATACAGGCTTTACCATTTGGGGCAAACTGCATTTTCCAGTGCTCTAGAAAACGTGAGGGGAGGAAAGACTCAATCCTCTGAAGACTGAAGATAATAAACTAACTAAATAAATAAATATAACCTGCAAAAACTGAAAGACATTTGCAGGCTTCGTAATCAAATAAGTGCTAGCGGTTTTTGCAGTACCGTGTAGTCCAACATGTTTGGTTAGGTTCTGAAGCTGAGATTCAGGATTTAAAAAGATCAGAGACAGTACAGAGGAGTATCTTTGCAAGGCTTTCAAATTGTTTAATGCATGAGGAAGCATTGGAATAATTTTGATTTGATGGCATGCAACAGTGCTTGTTGGTTATAGTTACCATGCTGATGTTATGTCCAGCATTTGCCCAAAAGGAAGGATGCCAATAAAATAATGTATTCATTATATAAGTATATTAATATGTTTTTATCAATACATGCTGGAATGGATTGCCTGACATTACATTGCAGAATTTTTAAGTCCTACCTTCAGGCAAATCTCATGCTTACTAGCAAAAATGAAAGTGTGAAATGCTTTTTAATGTATATTTAACAACAGATAGTCTAGTGATTACTGATGTGTATTCTCTCTGGATTTTTCCCTTGGTATCAGAAGGCAATAATAAGAGACAACATTTTTACACATTTATGCTATCTACATACATCAGATGCTTACTTTTTACATATTTTTAACTGTCATTTATAACAAGGCTGAAAAAAAAAATCATCCCTTAAGTCTTAACCATACCAAGATCGCAAGTCTGCAATCAATTCCCAGTAATAGTCCAGTTATGGTTAAAACAGTGTCTGTATTTCTACCTTTTGATGCAAGTTTATAATGAATGTGTTTTTCAGTATTGTTTTAATGAAAAAAAAAAAAAAAAAGAGAGAGAAAGAGAGAGGGAGAAAGAAAGAGAGAAAGAAAGAGAGAGAGAAAGAGAAAGAGAGAGAGAAAGAAAGAGAAAGAGAGAAGGAAAGAGAGAGAGAGAGAGAGAGAGAAGGAAAGAAAGAAAGAAAGAAAGAAAGAAAGAAAGAAAGAAAGAAAGAAAGAAAGAAAGAAAGAAAGAAAGAAAGAAAGAAAGAAAGAAAGAAAGAAAGAAAGAAAGAAACTAATTTTATACGGTATTTTTAAGACTTTTTGTCTTGCGTCAGACTTTCTTATGAGAAGGTCCATGAGTTACTTAAGCTTTATGTTTACCTACATTTCAAAAGGAAATCTCTCAAATTTATTTATTAGACCTTTTTTGTAGTGTCACTATTTTATACCAACTAAAGTACAATTTTCCATATTTTACAATGGAGTGCACAGCAACAGTTCATGCTTTATACTAATGTATGCTAAACTATTTCATATTATATAGATCACTGTTGTTAAAATAGCAGTATTGGAGTGTTTAGATCACAGATCCCCAGTGGTCTACATTTTGTTTGCTTTGACATTATTAAACTTAACTTGTTTCTCTTACTGTGATTGTAATTACTATATTTGCATGGCTGAAAAGTTTGCTTTTTTTTTTGGTTGAGTTCTATTAACTCTGTTTGCATGTTGTGGTTGGTTTTTTTTTGAGCTTAGTATTTCATGTGCAGGCAGCAGAGCACCTTCTATTGAATTCAATAATTATGCAGAATCAATAAGTTTTTTTCTTTGTGTTTGTCTTTGTTGTTTCTTTGATATGGCCTCTAGGATGCTGCAGGCAAGGTGCTGGACCGCTGGGCCATCATGTCCAGGGAAGAAGAGATCATTACCCTTCAGCAGTTCTTGAGATTTGGAGAAACCAAATCCATTGTGGAGCTGATGGCAATTCAAGAAAAAGAAGGGCAGGCTGTGGCTGTGCCATCTTCAAAGACAGATTCAGATATAAGGACTTTTATTGAAAGCAATAATCGCACCAGGAGCCCAAGTCTCCTTGCTCACCTGGAGAACAGCAACCCTTCCAGCATTCATCATTTTGAAAACATCCCGAATAGCCTTGCATTCCTGCTTCCATTCCAATACATAAATCCAGTCTCTGCTCCACTGCTGGGGCTGCCTCCAAATGGCCTCCTGCTGGAACAGCCAGCAATGAGGCTCCGTGAACCAAGCCTTACAACCCAAAATGAATATAATGAGAGCAGTGAATCTGAAGTTTCCCCTACACCTTTCAAGAATGAGCAAACATCCAGCAGGAATGCTTTGACCAGCATCACAAATGTTGAACCCAAAACTGAGCCAGCCTGTGTCTCTCCTGTTCAGACACCTACACCTGTCAATGATTTATCAAAACCAGAACATACTAAAAGCTCATTCCGCATTCACAGAATGAGGAGAATGGGATCTGCCTCCAGAAAAGGAAGAGTGTTTTGTAATGCATGTGGCAAAACTTTCTATGACAAAGGTACTCTTAAAATCCACTACAATGCAGTTCACCTGAAAATCAAGCACCGGTGCACTATTGAAGGCTGCAACATGGTCTTCAGCTCTCTCCGAAGCCGCAATCGTCACAGTGCTAACCCCAACCCCCGCCTCCACATGCCTATGCTAAGGAATAATCGAGACAAAGACCTAATTCGTGCTACATCAGGTGCTGCCACTCCAGTCATAGCAAGTACAAAATCCAACCTAACTTTAACAAGCCCAGGGCGTCCACCGATGGGATTTACCACTCCCCCTCTAGATCCTGTACTACAGAATCCTCTTCCCAGCCAGCTGGTGTTTCCAGCTTTAAAGACTGTCCAACCTGTTCCTCCTTTTTACAGAAATTTACTTACTCCTGGAGAGATGGTGAGTCCTCCAACCTCCCTCCCTACCAGTCCAATAATACCAGCATCAAGTGGCATGGAGCAGCATCCCCCTCCTCCTTCAGAGTCATCGGTTCCATCAGTGCTGATGCCCACTCCGGAGCCTAATACTGATCTTGCCCCCAAGAAAAAGCCAAGGAAGTCGAGCATGCCAGTTAAAATAGAAAAGGAAGTTATTGATACTGCCGATGAGTTTGATGATGAAGATGAAGAGGTGAATGACAGCAGTACAATGGTGAATGACATTGGTCATGACAATCACTGCCATTCTCAGGAAGAAATGAGCCCAGGCCTGTCAGTGAAGGACTTTTCTAAAACTGACAGAAGCAGATGTATTACCAGACCAGATATAAGAAGGGCAGACAGCATGACATCAGAAGATCAGGAGCATGAGAGAGACTATGAAAATGAGTCAGAATCATCAGAGCCCAAATTGTGTGAGGAATCCATGGAAGGCGATGATCGCCTCCATGAACCTGGTGAAAAATCTATGATGCATAGTGACAGACAAGATGAAAACCACAATGACTCTTCTAACCAGGATGTCATTAAGGTGAAGGAAGAGTATACAGACCCTACATATGATATGTTCTACATGAGCCAATATGGACTGTACAATGGAGGCAGTGCCAGTATGGCTGCCCTTCATGAAAGTTTTGCTTCCACATTCAACTATAGCAGCCCTCAGAAGTTCTCCCCAGAAGGTGAAATGTGCTCAAGCCCTGACCCCAAGATCTGCTACGTGTGCAAGAAGAGTTTCAAGAGTTCCTACAGTGTGAAACTTCACTACAGAAATGTGCATTTAAAAGAGATGCATGTCTGCACGGTGGCTGGCTGTAACGCTGCGTTCCCGTCACGGAGAAGCAGAGACAGGTCAGTAAATATTAATTGATTTTCTACATTATTAAATGTGTTGAATTATGTATGAATAGGTGGTTTAGGGTACATGAAGAAATAGAGAGATGCACAGTAATGACAAGTGACAATCGTGTTCTCGTGACATTGAGAGAATTTTATCACTTCAAGATTTCCATTGTTGCTTGGCATTCAGAATAGTATCTATTGTGCCATCCTCTTGAGTGACTGGCAAGATATTAAATGTCGTTATTCTTTCTGTGTACCTGTGACTATATGTACTTCTCTTTATAAGCTGCAATTTATTACATTTATTTTCTTCTCCCTGCAGCTTTTAAATCTAGAAAATCTTCTATTAAATATGTAATAAATAATATACAATGCAAATATCTTTATGCATGCATAGAAGTAGGAAGGAGGGGAAGGGATGGATGGACAATTGGATGAATGGGTGGAGAGAGAGAGAATGGAAGGATTGGAATAAAAGAATGATTTCCATCCCCATAGGGTGATATAGAAGTAAAGAGGAAACATTCAAAGAACAGTCTTTCTTCTCTTCAATTTTTAAAATTAGCAACAAGTAAATATTAAGAAAATAATTGTCTCTTTGTAGGAATGTATACATGTCTCGATCCTCTATAGTTATTTAGTCCACTTTCTTTTCTTCTCTGAGCAAGTCCCTTCCCTACTGATTGGATAATGTACACTCAGACAGAAGAGACTAGACCCCTACATATTGTTAAGATCAACCCAGGGTATATTCTGCTGGCCCTTCGAATGAAATCATGCCCAAGCTATGCTGCATCAATACTGAAACAGTGGCGTTAAACAGAAGCAGCTGGTCCTTAAACTCTTAGGTTTATATATACACATACACTATTCTTTTTGATTCCTGAGGAAAATGTAATCTAAATGGAATTTCTCAAGCTAGTAGGATAGTGCAGTTATTTCATAGTTGTGGATAAAAGCTCTCACATGTGATGATGATCATATTAATACATAACAAAATCTCTCTGGTTCATGGAGTGATGGAGAGATTGGGTCATCTCTTTTCCTTTATTTGTGTTTCATATTTTTTCATTATGCTGTAAATATTCAGCAGACACAGGAAGGAAATTAAACCTAGCTAAGTATCTCACACACAGCTCCTTTTTTTTTTTTTTTTTTTTTCATTGAAGTTGATGGGGTTTGAAAGTGAATATATCTTGCAATACAAAATGAAAGCAATTTAGTACCTAGGAGACTAAGGAGACAAAATTTGCTTTTTTGACGGAGTCCAGTCCCTGACTATCTCAAATCTTCTCTTCCCATTTATAAAATTCCCTGAAAAGAACTATTAGAAAACAGTTTCAAAACAGACAAGGATGATCTAGGAAGTTTGTTTTACAGTAGGAAGAAACCACTGGGCATCAAGCAGGGAAAAGTGAATTAAGACTCCATTCTTTGGGTGTCTTGATAACTTTTATGAGACTTGAGTTTGACAAAGGAAGTGGATGAGTCAATGGCATACTTCATTCTGAGTTTAGGTATGTTCAATTCCTGAAACTGCACAGGTTCCGGTAGTCCAAAATTTGCCTTGGTTGGTCTGTTTCCTCAAGTGAATTAGTGAAATGTTAATCATATACTAGGTATAACAGCTTTGGATTCAGTGTATGAATTAAGAAGTGACTAGATTTAGGATTTGGAACATTGTGCAATATTAAATTTCAGAAAGAAACCATTGATAGATTATGCTAATAATACAGATAGTATATTAAAGATTTGTAAGTCCTAACAAAGAGATGACTGTGATGATGTATGTAAAATATTTCTGAGACATGAACATTTAAATAGGACACATTTTGAAAATATTTTGAGAACTATGTAGGATACTTCTATTAAGCTTATTGAAAGTAAGCCATAAAATAAAAATCTATGATTCAGGAACTTAAAAATTAGGCTGCATATTTAAGATAAAATTATTATTTACATATCATTTTGAGTTGTATAAATCGCAAAATCATCCTTTTATATCATTTCACAAGCAACATTCAGAATATGTTTTGGTTAATTGTTACACTTGGAACAACATAAATTCAGTGTTCATGAACTTCAAAGAATTTGAAGGAATGGTACAGTTTGTGTGCCCATTCAGGTTTGATGTTTTCCCAGGTTCATTAGAACCTCTGGTTTGCAAATTTTTCTGGAAACGCCTTGCAAGAGCCAAGTAATACTCCCATGGTTCTTGTTAATACTTTCAGACATTTGAGAGAGAAGTATCTTTGAAACTTCCTCCTGTTATCCAGTCTTGTCTAGAAATGCAATGTGTAGGACTGTACAGAAATGAAAGCATAGGTAGAGCATATAAAACAAAGTGGACAAAAGATTTTAATTAAACGTTTTTAACATTATTATCTAGTTTTTTCTATTAAAAAGAAAAAAAAAAAAAAGGAAAAGAAGAGATTCATATAATACATTTAGGAAGCAGAATTTAACTTAATATATTCTTTTTGTAAACTGTTTAATAACCCAAAAGGCTTTTCCATACAATTTGTATATAAATATAAGAAAATACATGCATTTACTTTAGAGAGAGGCATTACCTAAGTTTTTAAGGGCTAGCTCTTCAGATTGTGGGCAGCCCCTCGAAATAATTGGGTAAAATGGTATTACAAACTGAGAACTTCTGGTCACTTAAAGCAATTTCACTTAAAAGCTCAGAAACATTTTGCTATTAATTGCTGTAGAAGAAATAAAAAATAGCTACCTAAAGCACACAGTGAGTGTCACTGGATAATTTTTTTCATGCATTGCAGTTTCTTTCTTTCAGATACATTATCAAAAGCCTGTGTGATTTCACAGAATCACAGAATCACAGAATTTCTAGGTTGGAAGAGACCTCAAGATCATCGAGTCCAACCTCTAACCTAACACTAACAGTCCCCACTAAACCATATCCCTAAGCTCTACATCTAAACGTCTTTTGAAGACTTCCAGGGATGGTGACTCCACCACCTCCCTGGGCAGCCTGTTCCAATGCCTCACAACCCTTTCAGTAAAGAAGCTCTTCCTAACATCCAACCTAAAACTCCCCTGGCGCAACTTTAGCCCGTTCCCCCTCGTCCTGTCACCAGGCACGTGGGAGAACAGGCCAACCCCCACCTCTCTACAGCCTCCTTTAAGGTATCTGTAGAGAGCGATAAGGTCGCCCCTGAGCCTCCTCTTCTCCAGGCTGAACAAGCCCAGCTCCCTCAGCCGCTCCTCGTAGGACTTGTTCTCCAGGCCCCTCACCAGCTTCGTCGCCCTTCTTTGGATCCGCTCAAGCACCTCGATGTCCTTCTTGTAGCGAGGGGCCCAAAACTGAACACAGTACTCAAGGTGCGGCCTCACCAGAGCCGAGTACAGGGGGACAATCACCTCCCTAGCCCTGCTGGTCACGCTGTTTCTGATACAAGCCAGGATGCCGTTGGCCTTCTTGGCCACCTGAGCACATTGCTGCCTCATATTCAGCCGACTGTCCACCATCACTCCCAGGTCCTTCTCTGCCTGGCAGCTTTCCAACCACTCATCTCCCAGCCTGTAGCTCTGCTTGGGGTTATTGCGCCCCAGGTGCAGGACCCGGCACTTGGCCTTGTTAAACTTCATGCAGTTGACCTCAGCCCATCGGTGTAGCCTATCCAGATCCTCCTGCAGAGCCTTCCTACCCTCGAGCAGATCGACACACGCACCTAACTTGGTGTCATCTGCAAACTTACTGAGGGTGCACTCAATGACTTTTAAGTACCTAAAGAAGCTTAACATTTCTTTGCTTCAAAAATTAAAATTAAATGATTTTTTTTGTATGATCTTAATAATATAATGGGAGTTGTAGCTGTCCCATAGGTTATAGAGTCTTGTGAGGTTTTTATCTTTATTATTAATAATATTATAGGTAATTGTATTAATAACATTAAAAAACATGTTATAACTAGTTAGAGAAATGTTCTAAAAAGAAAACACAAGTTTATGTGCAGATAAATAACATTGGTTGATCTTTTCTGTTTCATGTAGAGGCATCTGATATAGCTTCAGACCTTTTTCAGTACAATTCTAGTTAATCAAATGATTGACTATATTCCCTCTATCTTGTACATACAAGAAACTGAATTGTTGACAGTGGCAGTAGCTGCTGCAAAATGGGCTTTGCAAGGGTGGGATTTTGATACACATAGTTACCAGAGAGAGCAGTTCACTCCAGGAGCAAACACAACACTGCTTTGACTGATGGACACATGGTTTTTATCCATGCGTCACAGCTGCAACCCTTCATTGTGGAGCATATCCTGCAGCAGTGTGTGTTAAGTTTTGACTAAAGTCAGCTTCACTGTTCCTAGATCAGCTGTGCCTAGGTCAAGTCCTGTATAAATATTCTTCTGCTGGAAAGGTTAGAATAACTTCTAAGATCTTTGAGTAAGCACTGCTATTCCTTGTAAATAAGGGTCAAGATAACCAGAAGACTCAGGAGTCCTACCTCACACATGTTTTTTTCAACACAGGGCAGAGGAAAGCAAAGCAGAGTTCATGTGTTTACTGTCAATGTCCCAGTGCTTCTATTTTCCCTTCTAAAATTTAGTCTATATTAATGAATATCTGATATTCATTATGAATATACATCATATGTATATTCAAAATACAGTGAGCCTAGATTTTTTTTGATGGCTTTTTTTTTTTCACCACTTTCTCAGCTACAAGTAACAGCACTCATCAAATTAATCTTGTACATACCTACGTTTTTGATCTTTTTCCCAAATAGCGTAGTACAACTGTCTCTCTTTTCCTTGAAACTCTATGCTTGTTAAAAACATTTTTTATTCCTTTCTTCACCTGCCACTCCCCAGATTAGCTGTTCATCCACTGCTGCTTCTATGTTTACTTCAAATGTCATTTCTTCTAGAGGCAATATGTACAGGCTATATCTTGTTGCAGGAAGGCAATGCAAAGTAAATAGTAAAGGAACCCATATTAAAAGTGATGTCAGTGATCAGGAGCAATGACATGCC